GAAAAAGAGAAACTCCTGAATAAATAATCCCAAATGATCAGGAGTATGTCATAAAGGAGTAGAGTAGACCCTTCATAGGCCTGGGTCTTTGTTTTTGTTCACTCTTATTTTACCTCATGGATTGGACATATTTAGTTTTTCTCTTGTGTTGACTAAGATTGTGACTGAGTCTACCTTAGACCTATTACCATTTAATTTGGTTAAAAGTTATAAGAGACTTTTCCAAAACCAAATGCACTGCTGTCGAGTAGGATCCATCTCAAAGCAACCCCCCTTGGGTTTTGGAGGAGTCATCTCTATGGAAGTAGATTGCTCAGCCTTCCTTCTGAGGAGTGGCTGTGGTGGGTTTGAACCGCCAGCCTTCTGGTTAGCAGTTAAGTGCCTTAGGGACTATGCCACCAGAGCTCCCAATAGAGTTTTAGCTTTCTGTAAAAATAATTTTTAGTTTGCATGTCACTCAGCTGTTAGATTTTTCCCCCCTTTCATGAATTGTGCTAATTTCCTTTATAGGCAGCTTACTTTTACAGATGGTGACAAGGTGAGCTTCCAAACTATGTGAGTTTGACAAAGAAGCTCCAGGAGGGATGAGTAAAGGAAGAAAGATGCACAGATGAAATAAATTCAAAGCAGAGAACGATGAACATGGTGATTCAGGTGCATCACGCATGGTTTTCAGCTGGAAGGGGCTGGTTTTACGCTCATGCTTATTTTACAAGCCATGCACACAGTCTAATAAAGTCAAAATGCAAACAAATTAAACTCAAAACTAAGTCTTATTCTTATGTCACATGTCATATGAAGCATTTTTTGAGTGACCTTTTCTACTTTATCCCACTGGCCTGGCTTTTAGTCCTAACTATCAGGTTCTGATTATGAAAACATTTTAAAAATTCAATTTTCAATGACTGTCTACTGAGAGTCTGTTATGTGTCAGGATCTCTTTTAGAAGCTGGATATGAAGTAGTGAACAGGACAATAGCCTTGCCCTCTGGAATTTGTGTTCCAGTGTTATATACAATTTATTATTTAAAATGATAATCAAATAAGTATATAATGCCAGGGAGTGTGTTAAAATGCTATGAAGGAAAATATAGTAGAGTAAGAGGTTAAAGAGTGACCCTGTGTATGTGTGTGTTCATGTATGTGAAATAATGAAGCTAATTAAAGGCCTTTCTAAGGAGGATATTAGGGAAAATATCAGGCAATCAAGTAGGTGTGTGTCAGGGCTGTATCCTTTCACCATACTTATTCAATCTGTATCCTGATCAAATAATCTGAGAAGCTGGACTATATGAAGAAGAATGCAGCATCAGGATTGGAGGAAGACTTATTAACAACCTGTGATATACAGATAACACAACCTTGCTTACTGAAAATGAAGATGACTGAAGCACTTACTGATAAAGATCAAAGACTACAGTCTTGAGTATGGATTACACCTCAGCAGAAAGAAAACAAAAATCCTCACAACTGGGCCAATAAGCAACATCACAATAAATGGAGAAAATATTGAAGTTGTCATCTAAGGAAGCAGCAGTCAAGAAATCAGATGTCATATTGCACTGGGCAAATCTGTTGCAAAAGACCACTTTAAAGTGTTAAGAAGCAAAAATGTCTCTTTCAAGACTAAGGTGTCCCTGACCCAAGCCATGGAATTTTAGATTGCCTCATCAGCATGTGAAAGCTGGATAGTGAATAAGGAAGATCAAGGAAGAGTTGATGTCTTTGAATTAGAGTGTTGGTGAAGAATACTGAAAATACTGCCAGAAAACGAACTAATCTGCCCTGGAAGAAGCTCCGCCAGAATGCTCCTTGGAAGCAAGAATGGCCAGACTTTGACTTGCCTACTTTGGTCATGTTGTCAGAAGGGACCATTCCCTGGAGAAGGATATGGTACTATGTAAAGTGGGAGGTCAGCGAGAAAGGAGAAGGCCCTCAACGAGATGGATTGACGCAGTGGCTGCAACGATGGGCTCAGGTACAGCAAGGATTGTGAGGATGGCACATGACCAGGCAGTGTTTCATTCTGTTGTACATGGGGTCACTATGAGTTGGAGTTGACCTGACAGCACCTAACAACCACTACCATGTACTTAACACTTATGTGTGAGCCATTGTTTTTAGAACTTCATGTGTAAACTTATTTTATTTTTACAAACAAACCATGAAGCGTATACCTATATTGCTCATGTTTTTCAAATGTGGTAACTGAGGCACAGAGAAGATCATTAACCTGCTTGAGGTCAAACAGTAAGGGGCAGAGCCAGTATAAGAACTTAGGTCTAAAACTTACCATCTCGAACACTGTGCTTTACCTCCATCTCTACTATTACAGAGTAGAGGAATATTACTATATTCCTGCCCTGGGCATCTATTAATGAAAAATCTTTTTCAAGTGATAGGCTCTCTCTGAGCTGAACTGGAATTTTCTAGACTCATTAACTCAATTGCAGGTTGTCATTTTAGGGGGAACCAGTAGTACTCAGGATTACATACTGATTCTAGGGAGAAACGGAGATTTAGTTCTTTCACAGTGATTGTATATTCTCCTGTGACTGCTTAAGTATTCGTGTTCAATCAAATGAGGTGAGGGGAGGGTAGTGGTGAGAGAAGCTAGAGGTTCTGTGATGGAGAAGATCCTTTTGCTAATAGAAATGATTACCTCATCATCATCCTAGATGTATGTGGCACACATCTTCATTTCCTTCTTAGATTAGCTGAAAGCCCAGGAGATGATTGCGATTGAAAAAAGTACAAGGTGTAAATCAAAGCAACAATGTTGAGGAATGCACACTGTGTGCAGCCAGTGCCAGTTGCCATTGAGCGGACTCAGACTCATAACAAACCCACGTGTATCAGAGCAGAGCTATGCTCCATACAGTTTTCAGTGGCTGATTTTTCAGAAATAGATAGTCAGGGCTTTCTTCTTAGCCACCTCTGGGTGGGCTCAAACCTCCAACCTCTTGGTTAGCAGTGAAACTCATTAACTGTTTATACCACCTACAGACTCATCCATTATGCAAAGTGGATAGAGTAGCCAAAACTTCAAGATGTTTGATGCTCAAAAACAGCAAGTATGTACATAATTGAAATATAAAATAATTTGATCTAATGTAATATGACTGTGGTTTAGCCTTTCTTTGATCTCTGATTTTTTTTAATAGGCTGATTATTTCTAAAAATGGTTTTCTCTTCCTTCTTTCTGACACTCACACTCTTATTGGTTCTCCCAATAGATGGGGATTGGAGCACATTATTTTCATTTAAAAGTTCATGAAATAAGGTCCTAGCCAGGTTTCTCTTTTGAAACAGAAAGAAAATCTAGAGCAAATAATCTTTGCTAAGATGTTTTCAGATCAAGAATCTGAGTAACTTTCTTAAGGCACGATGCACTAATTTTTCAATTCTTTTTTTTTTCTCCTTAAGATCAAAGTCTACCTAGTCTTTCATTTATTCTGTTGTTCTCATTAAAATGTTCTTCTGTGGACATAGTCATTATATTTTCAGAAAAGGTTAAGGGAATCAGCTTTGAAATTTGTTATGAACTTCTGCAAACAGAGAAAAACCTGCTGGGAATCAGATATTATTTTTATTGCATTTCCCCCCTATCTGCTATGTAGTGATGTCATAAATCAAGTAAATGTAGGTGGAGGAAGGGACTTAGGTGATTGTTTAGCTCTGGAAAAGAAGCTACTTCCTTCAGAAAGAGGATTTCAAACGGCCACACAGCAAACCAACCACTCACACACTCACACAGGTTTCCTGTGGGTCATTTCCCCTTTGCTAAACCTGATCCAAAGCCAAGGTTGGGAGAGATATTTTTCTCCTTACAAAATTTCCAGATAATTTGCCACATCAATCATTATATTAAAAAATATACATAAAATTTAGGCTAGAGTAAGCTTGAAGAATTTCATAAACTTGCTTTTAAGGAACTTAAGAAGATTTGTTTTGGAAATGAAGAGGAAAAGCAAGACCCAAAACAGGAAGACCTAGAAAGGTTATCACACTGACAAGTCACCTGCAAATTTCAGAACATTTAAAAAACATAAGTCTGTAGGAAAGAATTAAGTGTGGCAACCATTGCTTAAATGTTATAGTTTGAAGTATTTGAAGCTTAATTTTTTACTTTGGGGACATACTTTAAAATGCTCCTGATTTTATGTTTATTTTTATCTTTTTAAAATGTGTGTGTGTATATATATTTATATTTTTAAACTCAAGATATGGATTAATAGAGATCTGAAACCCTTTAATAAGTGCCTCCCCCATCTACAACACCAGGAAAATGAAAGTATAGTATTACGGCACTAGTTGTTACAGAAAAATGAGTGTCATGACATTTATTACTTTAGGCATTTTCATTTGTGAGTGGCATGAGGTAAATATATGAAAAGTGGCAAGAATACTCCTTTTACCAGTTGTGTGACTAGTGTTGATTTTTATCTTTTGAGGAAAGAATTGTGATGTCATTACACTATATTAAAAAAAATATTCACAGTAAAAAATTGATAAATCTTCAGGCATATGTTGAGTTAAAATCTCTCGAAGCCAAAGCCTAGAAGAGAGTTGAGGTTATTTCGCCAGAAGAGCTCTGGTAGCGTAGTGCCTAAGGCACTTGACTGCTAACCAGAAGAAGGCTGGCTGTTCAAACCCACCAGCCACTCCTCTGAAGGCAGATGGGGCAATCTACTTCCATAGTGATACTGCCTCGGCAACCCAAGAGGGGTCACTATGAGTCGGGTCCGACTCGACGACACATAACAACAACAACAACACTCATTTGATTTAAGGAGGGATATTAAAAAAAAAAAAAAAAGGTGTTGTAATACAAATGATGGACAGAGTGTTCTCCTAACAATTTCAGCAAACTCCTTGGCTGTATGTTATGCCAAGTTACCTGGTAACCGCCAGGCCCGCTCCTAGTCATGACAGAAATAAGCCAGGGCCCTCTGCATGTTCTCCCTGTGTGCAGAGACAGGTTTTCCACCTTTTCTTACCTGCATAGTGGTCAAACACAGTGGGCACGTATTCCTCCGGAAAGGCATCGTTGGCATAGCTCATCAGCAAGCAGGTTTTCCCCACGGCACCGTCACCCACCACCACGCACTTCAACATCTTCTTCTCCTCGTTGTCCCCGCAGGCACAGCTGCTGTCATTTCCCTCCTTGCAGTTCATTCTTGCGGCTCCAGCTGCTGGACTCCTGCTGTTGCTGCTTGCTTCCCTGATTTCCCCAAAGCCCATGAAACGGCGGGAAGCAGAGCCAGGCTGACTGGACTCTGCTGTAGTTTGGGTATCTTGGCTCACACAGACGTGGCCGAGGCAGCTGGTATGTACCCTCTTGCTTACATCCTGATAAAGAAAGGTAACACACACTTGGGGGAATGATAAGGATTTATCCCTTATCCCTGTCAGTTTGAGTTAAGAAACCCTCATTTTCAGAATTCTAGGGACTCCTTGGCAGTCCACAAATTTCAGCAGCCCTAGGGTTTCACTCTGCTGTCTCCTTCGCCAGCCTGGTTCAGGACACGGTGGAATTTTGCTAAATCTTCCTCATTTTCCACTTCATATCTAACATGGAGGAAAGCTGGGCTTTTTAATGGAGTTTTTCCCTTGCTTCCTCCAGCTAGCTGAGTGTCAGGAAATCATGGGTTTCCTGCTGCATTCCATATTAGGATCAGTGGGCTGGGAAGGCTGCAACAATGGGAGCTCTGTGTGTGTGTTTGTACTTCTGGGGAACGATGCCAGGACATGGAGTGGGAAAACACTAGGGGTCCCACTGCAGACTCAAGCTGTCAGACTTCCTGTTTCATCCACTGCTGTGGGGCTGTTTGCCTGTGGCTGGCTGGGAAGAGGCTGACGAAAGGATGAAAACTAGGGAGGATTGTCTGCCACAGAAACAGAGGGAATGGTTTAAGTGAGCAAGAGAGAACCACACCAGCAATTGTAGGATAACATATGACATCATCCCTGACTGAGTCACCAGTTATAAGTGCTGCAAATTAAAAACGGACAGTTCCTCACATACTTAAATAAGAAACCTTCAGCAGTGTGTTCCTGCAATAAAGAAGAAAACCTTTCAGTTTGAGAGGGAAACATTTTTGTAGGTCATAGGTAGGACATGTGTGATCAGGTTTCTAAACTGCTACATTTGAACACTGCACTTAGCCATGTGTTCCAGACACATTTTTATGATTGTGGCATGTAAGAAATCAGTCCGATGTTGGACAAATTTGCATCTTCTTGTTAGTAAGTAAACACACATGTGCCTGGCTGGCACTTAACACTTCTTGAAAATGAGAGTGGGTAGGGCTGCTTTTTGGTTTGTTTTACTTCGCAAATGCTGATTTTGCTTGGAAGTTTCCCTTTTTGAGTTATTTCTTGTCCCTTAGTTTAGCCTGTCCCTCTTCAATTACAAAGTGCCATTGGCAGCTAATTTATTTGCCTGTTGGGTCACTCAAAATGAAGCCCCTTTGAAGCCCTGTATTTGATTAATGTGCTTGGACTTAAAAAAGAAGTAGAACTTTATAAGTGATTTTGACAAATGGGTCAAGTATTTTTTTTTTTTTTTTATGAGGAAACTCCTTTTTTCCTTTGAGATTTTTGAATACTGATTTTTAAGAATTCAAATTATCTAATTGCTTTGAAGAAGTTTCTTTTACTTTGTATGTTTTTTCTTCTTTGGTAGGAAAGGAGTCAACTTCAATAAATATCTGTCAATCAATCATAACTGTGTAACTATAACAACTATTACTCAACAACTATACATATATATATATATGTATATATGTGTGTATGTATATATGTATATGATGTGTGTGTGTGTGTGTATA